CTCTTTCATTAATGTATTTATGTATATTAAGATTATATCAGAATCAGATCCGATTTCACAATTCTCATCAGGGCTCGTCCTTGGTTCCCACAAACGAACTGTGAAGACAGCCGGGCTGACGGCTTATCCACTATCGTCAGACACGATAAAAGTTGTTCCTATTCCCCTTTAAAAATTTCTCACAGTGTACCAAATTTAGGTTGCCCGCTAGTGCGTACCGACTACATGCATATATATGCGTGTGTGCGTGTCGGACATCATTTGTGTGCCCATTGCGTCCACCGACATTGCGTGAGCATTCGCAATGCTAAAATTTTTGTGCAAACACAGCACGTCCAATGAATTGTTGGACTCAATGTCTGAATGATGGGTTTAATCTTTGACTCTTTCCGGGCATGAATGACTTAACAAAAAAGTAGTTGATGATGAAGAAGAAGTAGAAGCCGCAGAGAGAAGAAGAAGTTACAATAAAAGCGACATAAAATCAACCATAGTTTGCCCAGCCAGCCATGCAGCCAACAAGTCAGTCATTTGAAAACAAATGGTGGCAACTCAAGTGGACAAAGGGATAATAAATGGACACCCGCTGCTGTCCGGGGCCACTAGAAATCATGCAACTCATTCATGGCTGGCCTTCATTCACTGACATGGAAATAACAAATAAATGTTCATAATTTGTTAATTTTTGTGTTTATAAATGAATTCATTTTTTTCTCTTTTCTACTTTTGCCATTCATGCTTAATTGTTATTGTTGCTGTTTTGTTGTCATTCTTTAATTTGTTCCTTTTTGTTTCTCTGCAGACATGGGCACATTCAACAATATAACCGAGGGCCGCTTAAATGTCATATCAGGCCATCCGGCCATATTGGATTTGCCCGACATCGATTCAGTTCCTACGCCCTCGGTGATATGGCAAACTGTCGATGGCCAGCTCAATTATGACATCAAATACGCATTCACCAAATCCAATCAATTGATTATCCTCAACACCGACGAGGCGGATCGTCAGGCATATCGGGCACGTGCCATCAACACCCAACTGGGCAAGGAGGAGAACAGCAGTTTCATACACGTCAATGTGAGCGGCGATCCGTACATTGAAGTGCCACCGGAAATCATTGTACATCCGCAGGATATGAAATTGAAACGTGGCGAACAAGTTGCCGAACTGCAGTGCATTGCGAATGCCCGGCCGTTGCATGAATTGGAAACGTTGTGGTTCAAGGATGGCATAGCCATTGAAAATGCCGAAATAGCACATACCCTCAACGATCCATGGAATCGTTCATTGGCCCTGTTGTCGGTGAATCTAACGCACTCGGGTGAATATTCGTGTCAGGTGCGTTTACGCAGTGGCGGCTTCAAGACATTGGTGGCAAAGGCCAGAATCGAAATACTCGAACCACCGTCGTTTTTTACACCAATGCGTCAGGAGACATTCGGGGAATTGGGTGTATTGGTCACACTGCCATGTGATGTTGTGGGCGATCCACAGCCAACGGTGACATGGTATCGGAATGCGGAGCCAATTGATGTGGCCAATGAAAAGTGAGTAAAAAATTTAAATTTTTTTAAATATTGGGAAGCCATATGCATAATCCCTCCCCTCACATTTAATGAAGATAAAATTTGGGGTCATACGTATTATCCGAAATAACGATTACTTCTAAATTATCAACATTAGTCCCATATGTCCCCAAAATATATAAGAAACCTTTTCCATGTGCAAAAAATTTCGGATCGTTTTTTTCGCGTACCTTAAACTATTCGGAAAATTCAAATTATTTTAAATATTGGGAAACCATATGTATAATCCCTCACATTTAATCAAAATAAAAGTTAGGATTATCCGTATTATCCGAAGTAACGATTACTTCTAAATTATGTCCTCCTATGTCCCCAAAATATATAAGAAACCTTTTCCATGTGCAAAAAATATCGGATCGTTTTTTTCGCGTACCTTAAACTATTCGGACCTTTTAACCCAACTCTTCAAATTATCAAATTTCAGCTATATTCCTTCATCCAGTATCAAATTTAGTACTATCTCGTACTTTTCGTACATTTATAGTACACATTTCCAAAAACCACTTCCATATCCTAATCCCTGATTAAAACAGAGGCCTCTACATCGAATGTCGGCATTTCAACTCTATTCCCTAACCCCTTTTTCCAAATTTAGTGCCATTTAGTAATTTTCGTACAAATATAGGACGCATATCCAAACCTCCACCAAATCTCAAACACAGATACCATCAATAATCCCTTTTAAGAAGTTAAATAACATTTTGGAACATTTCCTAAATTCCTTTGGTACATCTCTCCTGCACTCGATCAGTGACTCTCATTCCAAATTACTCGGAATTCCAGCTCTATCGGTTCATCACAATTCCACTTTGTACCAAATTTACTAAAATTTAGTACATATAAGTGTGAATTTCGAAAGCTTCCTACAAACCCCAATCCTACAGTCCCACAATAATGCCAATTCCAAATATTAGGATTCCACACCCGTTGAGTACATATTTCCAAAACAACCTGCACACCCCAATCCTACACCCCGACAGTAATCGTATTTCCAATTTTCAAGATACCAGCTCTATTGGTTGATTCATATCAAAATTGTACCAAATTTAGTACCATTTAATGCACTTAAATGTAAATTTTCATAACTACTTATGTCCTACAGTCCAATAGAAATTGCGTTTCCAAATTTCAAGATTCCAACTCTATTGGTTATCCAAAAAACTATATTGTACCAGATTTAGCACCATTTAGTACACATAAGTACGAGTGTCCAAGAATGCAATAGTAATTTTATTTCTAAATTTCAGCATTCCAACTCTATTGGTTCTCCCAAAATTTAAATTTATTAATATATTAACAATTTAGTACCATATAGTACGAATTTCCAAGACTACCTACATTCCTCAATCCTAGAATGCAATAGAAATCTCCACAATTGAAATAGTACCAAATTTAATACACATAAGAACGAATTTCCAAAACTATCTACATTTATAACCGATTTTATTTAAAAATTTCAGAATTCCAGCTCAATCGATTACCCCAAATCGAAATTGTGCGAAATTAAGTACAATTTCGTACATTTCATTTGAACATAAGTACAAATTTCGAAAACTTCCTACCCCATATCCCAATCCTACACTCCGCCATTTAGAAATATCAGGATTCCAACTACATCCATCCCTTCAAATTCAAAGTGTACTAAATTTAGTACCGTTTGGTACTTTCCGTATGCATGAATTTACACTTCCAAAATTACCTCCTTGCATCGTCTCTACTTCTCAATCTTGATTCCCATTCCAAATTTGAAGTTTTTAAGTCTAACCGTTCATTTGATACGAAATGTTATTAAATGTAGTACCATTTAGTACTTTTCGTACACTTATAGTGCGAATTTGCAAAATCCTTTGGTACATTTACCATATACTCCGTATACATCTATCATGACCCTCATTACAAGTTTATGAGTTCTAGCCCTACTACTTCCTCAAATACAATGGTGGCGATATTTAGTACCTTTTAGTACTCCTTGTACCTTTCTAGTACGAATTTCCAAAAACCCAGGTTTATATGACCCCTTATGACCTAGAGTGACCCCCATCCAAAATTTCAAGATTCTAGCTTCAGCCGTTTCCAGATCATTTCGTTCCTTCAAATTCAAATTATACTAAATTTAGTACCGTTTAGTACTTTTCGTATACATGAGTACGCATTTCCAAAACTTACATCTTCTCTACTCTTTAGCCTTTATTTCTATTCCAAATTTCAAGTTTTTAGCTCTAATTTTCCAAAAACCCAGGTTTATATGACCTAGAGTGACCCTCATCCAAAATTTCAAGATTGCAGCTTCAGCCGTTTCCAGATCATTTCGTTCCTTCAAATTCAAATTGTACTAAATTTAGTACCGTTTAGTACTTTTCGTATACATTAGTTCGCATTTCCAAAACTTACATCGTCTCTACTCTTTAGCCTTTATTTCTATTCCAAATTTCAAGTTTTTAGCTCTAATCGTTCACATGATACAAAATGGTACCAAATATAGTACATTTTAGTACTATTCGTACACTTATAGTGCGAATTCACAAATACCCTTTAGTACATCTATCATTCACTCCATCAGTGACCTTCATTCCAAATTTAGAGTTATGTGACCCCTCGGACCAAGAGTGACCCTCACCTAAAATTTCAAGATTCTTGCTTCAGCCGTTTCGTCTGGGCGTTCTCATTATTAAATTGAAAATAATTATTTTTTTTAATTTCTCTTTTCCTTCCCCCCAGATATTCCATTGGCGAGGATAATGCTTTGCACATCAAAAAACTCGAGCTGGAAGATTCGGCCATGTATCAATGTCTGGCGCTGAATGAGGCTGGTGAAAAATCGGCCTACACTTGGCTGAGAGTTAAAAGTAAGTGAAATGCCTTATCTTCTCTGCGTCTTACACTTTAGAACGAGCTATAAATTTAAGCTGTCTGGATAGAGAATCGCATAAATTTTAACAACTAACCATTTACATTTACCTCTTTTTGTAGTTAATATTGATAATCTCCTTAAATTTTCAATTTCCCATTAATTCCATATTTAAAAAAAAAAAATTGCGGTTATACCATTCACAGCTATTAAATTGCCATACAATGGTGGTTTGGTGGAATACAGTGTTTCAGCCTCAACTACTACAACAACTACTAATAACCATAAAATCTCAGCTACTAATTACAAACATAAAACCACAAAATTCATTAACCATCGTTTTAATATACCTCATAATGGTGCGGCTGTAAATGCTGCGACAGCTCAAAGTACAACTGTCCCGGCATTAACGACACCAGTTACAACAGCGGCAGCGGCAGCAGCAGCCACCACAAGAATCATCAATGGCATCGATAATGTCATAACGGCACCGACATCAACATCAACAGCCCATCATCATAGATTTAATAAACAGTATTTTAAGGTGTATGAAAAATCGAAAGTATCCTCTTATTCTAATGTTACGACTGCTGCTGCTAATGCCAGTAGTGGCAGCGCTAGCTCAAATGTTTCATCTTCAATTTCCCCCATCATCAACGTCATTAATGGCACTAGTCATGGCGCTCATCCGACCAACGCCGCCAACACATATCCTGAAAATGCCACAACTAGCAGTAGTAGAGGTAGTAGTAGCAGCACTACTACAACCACAACTAAGGATACAATGATTGTTGTTGGTGGTGGCAGTGGCAGTGGTAGTGGTAGCTGTGATGGTAATGGTGTTGGTGGTGCTGATACTGATACTGGTACTGGTAATTGTGCATTCGTTAGTGATTTATTAAAGCGCATTAAGCGTTTGGCTCAACCGCGCATTTTACGTGTTAAGTCGTCGCATGCTGGTGCCACCACGGGTTCAGGACACAATAACAATAGACGCAAGGACTTTCGCTTTGGTAATAAGAAATACTTTATCATCATTATGAAATGTTACGAAGTTTTGTGCAAAAATATAAATCTTAGTTTTGTGGTTCTTCCTTCTTTCTTGCGTTACGTTATGGAAATTCATTTCATTTATCTTAGTCGCATACCATTTTCACCAATACACTTTTCCGGCACCGCACCGTAGAGCTTTATTAGAAAGCTTGCTTTGATGTAGATAATTTTCTATTGTTTTTTTTATACACCATATATGCAAAATAGTATCGGAAAACACCTAGATTTAGAAAATAAGAACACTGTCGTCTATTTAGATGTAGATTTTATTATTTTTTTTTAATATTTTATTCCAAATTATATTTGTGCATTTTTTTTCACAAAAAGACATTTCGGATTAAATACCTTCTGTTTCAACTCTACAGAAAACTTAAATTGTCCCAATTCAGTACCATTTAGTGCACATAAGTACGAGTTTTCTGGGTCCTTCAATACAATAGTAATCTCATTTCGAAATTTCAGGATTCCAACTCTATTGGTTCTCCCAAAATTTTAATTGTACCAAATTTAATACCATTTAGTACACATAAGTACGAATTTCTAAAACTACCTACATACCAGTCCTAAAATGCAAGAGTAATTTTATTTCCAAATTTCTGCATTTCAGCTCTATCATTTAACTTAATGGAAATTTTGCTTTAGTACAGTTTAGTACACAAAAGTACGAATTTCCAAAACTACTCACATGCTTCAATGCTACAATGCAATAGTAATCTCATTTCCAAATTTCAGGATTCCAACTCTATTGGTACTTACAAAATTTATATTGTACCAAATTTAGTACCATTTTGTACACATATGTACGAATTTCCAAAACTACATACATACCTCAGTCCTACCATGCAAAATTAATTCTGTTTCCAAATATCAGGATTCCAACGCTATTGGCTCTCCCAAATCGAAATTGTACCACATTTAGTACCATTTAGTACTTTTCGTGTACATAATTACAAATTTCCTAATTACAATCCTACACTCTAGCAGTAATGTTAATTAGAAATTTCAAGAAAAACCTTTCGACAGAAGAGGTTTTTCAACCCCGAAGAAACCAAAATACAAATTTTTCAAATTTAGTACCATTTAGTACACATAAGTACGAATTTCTAAAACTACCTACATACCTCAGTCCTAGAATGCAACAGTAATTTTATTTCCGAATTTCTACATTCCAGCTCTATCGTTTAACTTAATCGAAATTTTGCTAAATTTAGTACCGTTTAGTACTAAATAGTACGAAATTCCAGAACTACTCACATGCATCAATGCTACAATGCAATATTAATCATATTTCCCAATTTCCGGATTCCAACTCTATTGCGTCTTACAAAATGTATATCGTACCAAATTTAGTACCATTTAGTACACATATATACGAATTTCCAAAACTTCCTTCATACCTCAGTCCTACAATGCAATAGTAATCTTGTTTTCAAATATCAGGATTCCAACGCTATTGGCTCTCCTAAATCGAAATTGTACAACATTTGGTACCATTTAATTCTTTTTGTATACATAAGTACAAATTTCCTTATCCCAATCCTACGCTCTACCGGTAATGTTAATTTGTAATTTTAGGAAATATCTTCTGTCGAAAGGTTTGTCAATCCCGAAGAAACCAAAATAGAAATATCGATTCGAAAATATGACCAACACCTGGCAATAACTAAAATTAGGAGGCATATTTACAGCGTTTTTGGAAAATATGACCAAAACCTTGGCAATAACTAAAATTAGGCGGCATATTTACATCGTTTTTTATAAATCAATATTTACAGGGTGAGATAAAAAAAACTGCAACAAAGTCAGACGCCATCATTTTTAAATTTTTTATTTTTTATTTTTTTTTTTTTTTTGTTTTTTTGATTGAAAGCAAAAAGTGTCGGAAATAGCATCTAATTTTATAATAAGTTTAGATTTGTTCGAAACGGTCACCTTTGACACGAATTATTGCCTTCAAACGGCCAATGAAACCGTCACATGCTGCCCGAATGTTGGTATTTTGGCCCATTGCCGGCGAAGCGCTTGCTAGAGGTGATCGACACTTTGGTATTTTTTAGTGCCAACCTTGCTCTCCAAAATACTCCAGGTACCATAGTCCAACGGATTGGTATTCGGAGATTTTTCGAGGCCATTGTGCGCTGGAAATGAAGCGAGGAACCTCATTTTGTAGCCATTATTGGGTGGCGCGTGCTGAATGCGATGGTGCTGAGTCATGTTGGAATATCCAAGGTCTGTGGCCAAAATGTTTGCGTGCACAAGGCTTTAATACACCCTCCAGAATATTTTCGCGATAATATTCGGCATTTATTCTGATGCCACGGTCGATTAATACGAATGGAGAGCGACCATCGGCGGTTATGGTGGCCAACACCGTCACCATGGCCGGCGCTTGAGTACTGGTGGCCAACCGAAGGTGCACATTCTCAGCTAACCTCTTTGGCAAGTAAACACGAAAATTTTGATTGTTTATCGCTGGACAACGAATGTTTTCTCATCGGAGAAAACCAAATTCGGCAGTTCACCGCTTTCGGCCAAGCGAAGCAACTCATTAGCTCTTTTGAGTCGATTTTCCTTCTGTTGCGGTGTAAGTTATTGCACTTTCTGGAATTTCAATGGCTTTACCCCGAGCTCTTTTTCAATATTTGCCGAATGGAATATTGCGATGAGTTCAGTTCACGACCCATTTTTCGGTCACTGCGACGCGGGTTTCGATCAAATCGCTTCTTTACTTTTCGAACCATTTCTGCTAATGTTGCTGTTTTCTTTAGTCCACTTTCTTGGCATCGTGCTACGCTGCCAATATCACGGTGGCTTAGAAATGACAGCAGTCTAAAGTTGGTTGCAGTTTTTTCATCTCACCCTGTAGCACTCGGTTTTTTTTTTTTTTCAAATTACACTCATAACAATATTTTTATTAGCCCAAGCTCTGGTGTGAAGATGGAATATCTCGGTCCACTCCTTGTGGCATCTGCCCCACAAATGGCCAAAATTGTGAATATCCATGAAGCTAATAAAACTCGAAATTAACATCCGATTCCATTCAGACTTGGTACATCTCAATATTTTCAGCAACACAAGGTCTGTAATATAGACGGTAGAGATCAGACTATTCCTTCTAGTACCTCCCCCACAAAGAGTCAAAGTTTTGAATAACCAAAACGATTATACGGATCCGAAATACGAATCCGATTCTCCTTATATTTCACACATTCTATTATTTCTGCTAATACAATATCTGCTGTGAAGATGGAATATATCGGTCCAATACTTCTGGTACCTCCCCCAACAAGGGGTCAAAATCGTGAATATCCCTGAAACTCATAAAACGCGAAATCGGATTCCTTCCGTTTCAACTTGGCTTAATATTTCCACCAACACAGGATCTGTTATGAAGATGGTAAAGATCGCTCCATTTCTTTTGGATATTTAAAGTATACCGAGAAGGATATTGATAAAAGCATCTACTTTTTTCTGTCCAAAACTATTTCCGAAAAGGCATCTATATGTCAAGGCTACAGATGAACAACAACCCTAATGCCAAATTTCAGATTTCAAGCACTATCTATGCCCCCAACTTCAAATTGTACCAAATTAAGTACTATTTAGTACTTTTCGTGCACATGTAGTTCACCAAAATATGCTTCGTGAACAATTTTGTGCAGATTTATTCAAAATCTACCCAATTTCCCATCATAACTTTGAGAACCACAACCGTTCTCTATACAATTCTCATTGAGCAATTTGTTTAGTATCGATTTCTTTAATAACTCACCCTTTCATATAGCATGCAATAAAAAATAAAAATCCACTCCCGAATCCATTTCATATTATCCATAATTGTTTGAAAATCTCCCTCATATCCACATATGACTTACTTACCCTACTCGCCACTCGGTGGCCACAGTGTATTAAATAAATATTGTTTCGAGATTAAATTTAATATTCATTATTACATGACTATCAGATTTTACGACCACATTCCATAATGTAAATTTCTCTCCAAAATGTACATGAAAGTACTCGATGTACAGAAAAAAAGGAAAACGTCGACGAAGTAAAAGTAATTTTTTATGTTAATTACAACGATAAGTGTGTAAGGTTCATTTAAATGTACATATTATATGGAGAACATACGATCTCTGTGTGTGTGCGTGTGTGTCGGTATGTGCCCGTAAGGGTTGAGGGTGTGTTGTTGTCGTAATATTGAATCTATGTTTTATAGTTCGTGCTACACGTTACGTTGAGTTCAACACTACTAACCTACTAGGAGCCAAAAGGCAGCAAACAACACTCGACGTTGTCGATTTCGTGCCGACAAGTAAAAGGAGCATTCCTTCCACACATATCATTAACTTTATTGCACTTAACAAACGTAGCGGCATATATGTAGGATCCACGGAAGCACACTCACTCACACACCCACGCACACCCTCTCACATGACGAAAATGTGAGTTCCTTTTTGCCTAGGGCACATTAAAGTATGTATGATAACGTTCCACTACCAGCGTCTAGGAGCTGGCGTTCATACCATACACTAACTCCTTCATAAAGCGTTGAAGTACTGTTATTATTATTATCGTTACAACAACAAGCATATGCCGAAAAGTGACTTCGTTTCGAAGACAAGGCAGTGTTAAATATATGCAACGGTGTTGGCGGCTCTACTTTAATGTTGCGCTCTACACTCGCAGGCCACTTTTGTATGCAGCCAGTTTTGCCTTGTTCTCCTTTTTGGCAACATCTACAAAAGAGGATTTTTATTATTTAAAATAGTTTTCAACAACACAACACGTTAATGTTTCCAGATGAACAACATAAGATAGTGTTCTACAACACACTGACACACATGCACAGATATGTGCAAACACATGTATCTTCCTCATGTATGCTCACTTACCGTTGCAAAAGTCTAGGTAATTATTTACTTTAATGTATGGGAGGGAGGGGGTGATCATGGAG